CTTATTTCAAAAACTAACTTTTTATTGAAAAATGAATTGATCCTTATATCACAAACTTTTAATTGTTATTAACGTGCTTAGTCTGGTAACGAACAAAACATCTTACGCCGTCTCGAGAGTTGACTGACTCTTTGCATTAAGGTACTAAAGGCACATTTGATAAGACCTAATAAGAMTGGGCAAAAGCAATGACGGACAGCAAAGTGACCATGTCAGAGCAATTATAAGTAGATTAACTTCATATTATAATGTCAAGCAGTAGGAAAAATAATCGGCTAAACATGATTCATCTTTGAATCTCACTAGCTTAGCCTAGAAGCAAGCAAAGTTCTAAGTGCTAATTTTGTTARCRATATAGGGGTCTAAAATGTCATTTTGAACCTTTTAGCGTCGCCTAGGGAAGCACAGCTACATTTCAGGACTACGTAAGAAAGCTTTGTATTATGCATTAGCCATTTATTCAAATTCCTTTTAATATTAAGCGTCTATTCAAACAGTTCTCTCCAAGCAACATTCTTTCCACGATGTTCAATTCTTCCCCATTACACTACATGCWAGCCACCTCCGCAGGCATCACTAAGAATCACGGGCYTCCTGTCTTTTTGAGGAGTCAAAAGAGGGAGAMTGGGGGCGAGAAAAGGGGAGTCTTTTTATTTTTGCTATCTCGTCACTAGTCCCTAACGGCCAAAATGACCGTTACAAAGGAAGCCCAAAGGAGGAAAAAAGAGTTGCCTGTGKAGGAGGCTAACTACATGCAATGCCCCTTATAATTAATCAACTAGAATTGTAAAAAAAAAACTCGTCAGTATTTCTCAAAAAAGTTGAACACTCTCTAGATGAAAMTTGTCGCTCCTACTAAGACAACACTGAGAATTTTTATCAGGCTATCGAAAAGAGTTCGCCAAACAGTTGTAAAACGCACTATGTCACSTGGAGAGSAACCGGAATTCCGCTTTAATTAGATATAGCGTGAAACATAAGGTGGCCACGCTAGATCTCTGGTATTGCTGTATCGCTTCATAAGCCTGTAATTCAGACACTGGTAGCAGTTAAAGTTGTACTTTCCCCACCATTCCACAGCATTGCAGCCACGTCTTCTCAAGCATAGAGCTTGACACTKCTTYAATGWGATGCGGGMCKTCATAAGCCTGCGGTTTCGATGGCCGCACCAGTATGGAGTGCTAGTCACCCACCGACCTGGAAAAATCAAAATGGCCACATAAGGTAAACATACACATAATACAACAAATTATCGCATATACATGTTCAATTTATCTAGACACTGCTTCGGGCCCTAAAATCGCCTCACTTTTATAGGCGATTTTGTGCAATTCCATGCGATTTTAAGCAACTTTTTTTACCAACAAACCGCTTAAAAAATAGCGATTGTATAGGTAAAAACTTGGGGGTTTCTTATTTGGCCTTTTGTTTGATGATAACGTGTTTTAATAATTAATGTCCTCTAAAACAACATAATTTGAAAATTTGGAGATTTAAATTAAGAAAATCTTTTGTGCGATTTTAAGAATTTTAGGGCCCGGAGTAGGCCTTTACCTTTCTTGAGAGTTGAATCAAATATCGCTTTGATTTTGATTAACTTCTCCAAACCAAACCAAACCAAAACAGTAAAGCCAAAACACAATAAAACCCAAACTTTCTGACTGATCTCATTGGTGTTTTTAAATTGGTGTTTTTGAGGTTGAGATTTTATCATGAATTCGAGAAAATTTAGTTTTCATTTAAATTTGTTAGGTAAGGCTCAGTATTATTTGCACTTACGTTTTGGGGGCCGACAGTATCCACAGGTATAACGACAGTAGACGCGACCAATGTTATGGCGGCACCTCCTGAACTTGTTTCTCACCAACAAACAACTTCGGGGTGAAATGAGATTCTTACATACTACTGGTGGCCCTGGATGAGATTGGGCAACAGTARTAAGGAAGAAGGAATACAGTTAGAAATGACATGGAACTACAGACAATCGTATGACTACAAATCGACATTATGTTTACCAAAGCTCTTAAATCTCATTCATCTCAGATATCTTTCATTTAAGTCTTTATTTTTTTCATTTTTGGTTGAAGCAGCTTATATTTAATAAACTGATAGACMRAATTCGTWTTTTTTGGTATGCTATTGATTTTGTAGATACTGCTATTTCTGCTCACTTAAAAAAWGTGTTGTCCTGTTTGTTTATTCTGATATTTTGCCATGATCTCATCTGGATCAAAACTGGATACTTGAACTGAAACAATTGGAATGACATCGTGTAGCACGCGTGGCCTAAAACGCCCAAATCCTCTATTTTCTCAAAACTATAAAAGTGGGCCTGCTCTGTGGACTAACACAACACAGTGGCGAAAGACGTATATGTAACAACAATATGTACAGAATAGAATAAAATACTTACTGCATTGACGATAGCACAATCTGCGAATAATGCTGTTCCTGCAGAACTTATATCGTTTCAGGACGAGGCAACATCGGGCACTTAGTAGGACGCGTCTTTTCACTGCATCTTTAACTTCGTCCTTTATTTCTGATAAAAGGAATGTTATTAACTGTAACCACTGATGAGATAGATAGACAGTTTAGGATTTGGAAATTGCAAAGSAGTCTCACGGCTGTGAATTGGCTGTTTACTTGCAATAATAAATTATATATGTACAAAATTAAGAAAAAAACTAACAAAAAGTACAAACTTGTTAATAATATGTATGTACAACATTAGGACTATAGTTTGATCACGGTTGGTAAGGTATTCATGATTTTCAATCCTGAGATTATAGTTAAGAATGCTCTTTTGTAGACTCCTCGCAGCCGTTTTTTTTTTTTTTTTTTTTGAGGATTAAGGAGACGACACCGGAAAACGGCTGCGAGGAGTCTAGCTCTTTTGTGGTATAGTTTTAAATTGTTACTGAACGGTAGTTCACAATATAGTCATTTAATCATGCATGTGGTACTCCAAGGAGAGAAAAGAATAGTATAAAAACAGCAAGAACAGTTATTAAAACTAAAACTACTAAATAAAATGCATTGTCTAAATACCTTCTGGAAGGTTGGGATGATTCTTAATCTCTTCTTCATCTTAAAAAAAACAGCAAATTATTATTAACCTCTAAGCAACAAAGACAAACAACAGCTTCAACAACAGCAGAAGAAGAAAAGAAGGAGGAGGAGAAGAAGAACGACAACAACAACAGCAACAGCAACAACAGCAACGATAACAGCAACAACAACAATCGATTTAATAAATGGATGAGCGTGGTGCGCTTGTTTTCAATTTAGCCTGAAATTTTCATAAAGAGTAGCACTTCTAAGACTTGAACGTGGACAAGTTGCATAAAAATAGAGTCAATGGCTCAAGCAGATACCTTCAAGTTCATCACCTGAGACGCCGTCGACTGGTGATGGAGTTGGATCTAGAATGTATATCAGTTGAGAACTTTGGGTAACTTTTTTTTTCATAACTATGACAACAAAATCTTACATGAATCTTAAAAGTGCTTCCGCTTTACGCCAGAATGATCAAAGCAAAGGATTCATTAATAAACAACCTCAAAACGGATGAAAGTAGACAAGCACGAGGTGGAGGAGGCAGAGAAACAGCGCTTAGGAGGACAAAGTAGACGAAATCAAGGACTAGGATGTAGAGGATATTGAAAAAGAGAGAAATTAAGAGCATGGAGGAACGAAGACTGAGGAGGAGGAGAATCAAACGTGGAGAACGCTGAAAGAAAGATGAAGAAAAATAAGAGGAAGGCTTGAGGACGTGAATGACAAAGGAAAAAAGGAAGGAAAAGCAAAKGAAAAAAGAGGAGGAAAAGATGAARCAATTAACTAGATTCACTGAACCGTCTTCATCAATTCGACGACAGAAATGAAACCAGCGCGGCTCAAGTTGAYACCTTGTTCAGCACCTTCTTCGTCAGCTTCTTCATCACCCTTGTTTCCGTTTTCTGGCGGCCCAGATTGATCTGAAATAATGATAAATCATAAAAGAACAGGTCTTTATTGAGTGAACTTTGAACATGATATTTTATGGCTAAAAATATTAATTCTTTCTTCGAACTACGTGCAGTGCATTTAAAAAGAGGTGGAAAAGATGAAGCAATTTCGAAAGCAATTGTAGATTCACTGAACCGTCTTCATCAATTTTTAACTCGACAGAAATTAAACGAGCGGCTCAAGTTGATACCTTGTTCGGTATCTTCTTCGTCAGCTTCTTCATCACCCTTGTTTCCGTTTTCTGGCGGACCAGATTGATCTGCATATCAAAGAATTGCCATTTAGCAGCCATATATGGTAATCTTACYTTATTTGGAAGTACGATAGGAATGGTTTTTGTCGATTTTCTCGACTTTTAAAGCTTGAAATCGTCTGAAACTTGCAGATATTATAGCGAAAACACTCCTAAACAATCCRCCATTTTGTTTGTTTCCATATATGGCATGGATTYGCTAAAGGAAGCCCMAAACTAAAAAGCACAGGGAACCCGCACGAATGATATACAATTCTTTGATATGAAATAATTATAAATCATAAAAAAAACAGTTCTTTATTGAGTGAACTTTGAACATGATATTTTATAGCTGAAAACATTAATTCTTTCTTCGAACTACGTGCAGTGCATATAAACTAAAGTTGAGAATATAAGTTAAAACTAATGTGCATGAAACATGGTATATCCTGTACTGACCTTCATCAGCTAATGCCTGTCCTCCATTAACCAATGGTTCATCTACAACGAGCAATAAAAAGGAGATCAAAAACTGTGTAACGATCAAATATCGATTACCAATTTGAATAATATCGATTATCATTTACCTAATGACGATGAAATATCGATTACCAATTTGAATAATATCGATTATCATTTGCATATGTTAATGAGGCAACACACCCTAGAGAGTGGACTGTCATGACACATGACGCACACAGTTTGGAAACGCATGGYGTGGCCATAGGTGACTGGATTGTGTGATCAAAAACTTAACTTTAATTAAATAGAACGAAATTAAACCAAAACAAATTAAGAAATTTTGATCGTTCAGACTGAAAGTCCAATTATTATTTTTTTTGCTGTACATATTTTTAAGTAATAAGTAATATATAAAATATGATCGGGAGACCTTTATGGTAAGAGAAAATCGAAGTTTTCATATCATTTAATGGAACGCGCAAGCTTACTGTGTTACTCTTGAAATTGCTTGAATTTGTACCCCACCGTATTATTTTTTGTTTTAATAAAAAACGAAACTTTGATCATACTAGTTTTTATGGAGCTCAAAAAATKATACAATCTTAATACGTTAGCAAAGTCATTTYATGATATGCAAGAGGTGACCCCCCGCGGTCACTGCCTTGCCACTAATTTGGATGTCATAAGTAATGCAAAATACAACTGAATTTGCTGCTAGCATTCATTTTATCAGTAAATCTAAATATATTTGGCTTGATCARACTTTAAATTTCTAAATTTYTYGCTTTGAAATCTGAGTTAGCTTATGGRCGTTGTCAGTGTGTGCGACAGAACTAGTCTAAAAGTTAAAATTACCCCCTAGAAATTTTTAAAACGGATGAAATTTAACAAAAGTTAATATTATTTTACCATTGTCTGGCGCTACTTCTTCGGCGAAGCAAGGTACAGCCACCAGCGCTGCGATAAAAAGAACTAAGATCAGATGGARCTTCATGTTGTCTTCAGCTTAGGACGATCTGCCACTGAATGTGGAGCAATGCAAAGACACTTCTATATATTTGGTCCACTTGAGGTTGTTAATAGAATCGACGTGTATATTATTATTTAATTCTGTGCTCTAGGCTCGAAACCATTAGTAATAAATGACTTGTTGYTAAGTATGCAGAACGGAATGAGGTATTGTGATGTGGCACTCCCAGTAATTAAAAATGATTCAGACAAAGACTATGTAATAYTTGTAAAAGCTGTAACGTCAAATTCTCACCATATAGTTTTAACAATTTTTTCCAATATTTAATAATTCCTCTAGTAGCGCCAGATTCTCGCTAACTTGATGATTTTAAATTTCGAGTATACATTGATTGTTGTTTTGCAATCAAAAGGCGTCATCGATCATTTCTAGAGAGTTCAACACAAGTGAACCAGAAATAATGAATAAAAAATAAATTGGCTAAAGGCTTAAAATCTATGCATTCCTTCACGAAAATAAGTGAAAGTCCAGGGCAAAAGAGATATATCTTACATCAAAACGCCATTTTTTTTTTTCACAAAATTTATTTGTGAAGATACTGGACCGTTGAAAAATTATTGACTTTGAATATATAACAACGCAAAGCAACAAAAAAATATACCAGAAGCATCAACAAACAACTACATAGAGTATTTGAAACAGAAAAAAATGGTTTTGTTTGTGYCGGTTATACTACTCTGAAAGATCACTTTCATCCCCAGCAGCTAATGAAGATTTGGCCAATGTCACACTCTAATGACAGGAGACGTCTTGAGTTTAGTTGCAATTCCAACCTATTTTAATTGACTTCCACACTTGACAAAGATAATAATTTTTACTGCTCTTTTGTTAAGTACTGAGCCTCAAATTAAGATTTATTTCAATACTGGCCATAAATGTTAATTAATGAATGAACTTATTTTTGATCTATCTTTAAAAAAATGTTTATATGGATTAATCATGAGATTCAGGATTGCATGTGTCCTCTGTAATGAGTATTAATTTTGAATGAAGCGGGAGTTTGTTATTCGCATTTATCTTTCGTTGTTGTGCGATGTCAACCATGTATAAACGGTCTAGTAACTCTTGAAAACTGATTTTTAAAGATACGATGGTTTTATAGTGAGAAAATGTCAGAAAAAATGATCAAAAAGTGTGCTTGTATCACTATGCATACAAATTGTTCCAAAATGTATCAATAAATTTGTTCTTTTGGCTCTTTATTATTTTCGTGCAGGAATCAATGCATTTAAAAAATTAAGCCCTTGGCCAATATAGTATGACGCTAGTTAATGTTAAGTGAATACAGGGTTCAGTAAGCCTTGAATTGTTTTTAATTTCTGTTGCTTAAAAAGCCTTGATAAATAAATATCTCATYGCGATACTCTACATACAGCAGAGTGTAAATGAGTTCTTAAACCAAACATAGGCAAATCACAAATCCAGCACTGAGCCGAACTGATTGGCTAGTGAACTAGGGTCTATACATGATAGACAATTGGCGCATCGAATGTCTCKTGAAAATACCTGACATGCGCCGTATCGGTCATTACGCAGTGCARTTAAGATTGATTTCATTTGAACTACATGTTATTAACACAATCAATAAACCGTTTTATGCATTTTTCGCAAAGATAAAATGATATACATGCCAACTGAACGCTACTTASAGCCGATCCATTAGAATTTTGAATTTACAAGCGCGCGCCTGAAGTCCTAAAAAAATCGTTGCACGGACAAAATCTTCCAACCAATGGATTTAATRGATTCWAATGGCTCGCCCCTTAATGCAAATATATTGAACTCTTTGACGTTTTAATTACATATCAGTATTCAATGATCTACTGGCATCAATATTAAGCATTACTTTCAAGAGATCATCGAAAAAGTATTACTTCTACTTTGAAAAAAAGAGCATTATGATATTAATAATATTTATTAAAATGTAAAATTTAGCAAGCAGAAAAATTAGTAGTAATTGGTTAGTAATTGGYTAGTCTAGTAATTTCCTACGTCATTTTCTTCCCACTCAAATGCCYACTCAAATGTCTGCGAGCTCCCACATTTCAATCAATAACTAATAGTTGATGCGTCAGTACCAAATATTTGTGGGTTTTGTTATTATGCCGATTATACTAGTTGTTAAAGACTTAGCAGTTAAAAACACTTACACATTTTGCTGTTCATTAGCGTAACGTACATTCATTTGTGCCAAGCGTTGCTTCAATAACTTTTATTGTACTTACTTGAACTTGTCGTYTAGCCACAAACTCGATTCATGAACACCGTCCTAAAATTATCTGGGGGTTTGACAGTGTTTGGACGAGTAATTAACAATAATTTATTACTTTTTTTATAATAAAAAAKAATCATAGGGACACTGTCAATGGATGACATGCGCAGTAACAGTCTCGCCTCTAACGGACTTTGAAAGTATTACCTTCGAGGTAAATCATTTTGTGGTGCTTTTGACACACTTTGGAATATTCTAGATCTGTTTACATTTAYGAGCTGRTTTATGCCGCGCCAACTTGGAGTCATAAACTTGAAAACATTAGCCTAATGTTTTCAAGTTTACTCGCGYATGCGTGCCATTGACAGTGTCCYTTTATGYCAAGAGCTTTTGAGCAACATCCACAGAATCATCATCTCTAAGTAAGAAAATGCCAAAAAGAATAATCAAACAAGTGTGATTGTATCACTATGCATATAAATGGTTTCAAWATCTGCAAAATGTATCAATACATTTGTTCTTTTGCCTCTTTATTATTTTTCGTGAAGGAATGTATGCATTTAAAATAGCCCCTTGRCCGATATARTACGACGCTTGTCATGTTAAGTGAATACACGGTTSAGTAAGCTGCCTGAGTTGCTTTTAATTTCTGCTGCTTAACATGTTTTGATAGATAAGTATTTTCGATAATTTAAATATGGCGGTATCTCCTTGAAGTATCTTCACCAAACTAGCTATGGACACAAATCACAAATCAGCATTCGACCTCTAGTTGACTACTAAAATATCGACTATCGTCTAGTCGCATCGAATGGATCYTAAAAGAAAGTAGTCGAAATAATTTCTAGAAAAAAAATTATTTTCTTTATTATTATTATTTCTTCTTAATTTTTTCAACATGATAATTTGCAACAACATGAAAAAGCCGCTATGTATTTTTTAAAGTTTAACTATTAAATTATAAAACATCCGCATATTTRGTAAGTTAGTCAAGATTTGAAATAGTGCTTTGCATGTGTTCAGCCTATATATCGAAATTCACATAAAAAACTTACTTTTCCAAGTTCAAACTGATATAGATCGTCCTTTAACGAGCGTCATTAGACGTATGACCAGTAAATAGAGCATAACCTCCTCCCCCCCCCCACACACACACAGACTGCAACACAAATACATAACGCTAATACATCACACATCAACAAAGTTAGCAACCTCTATCATACTTTTTGCACTCTGAAACTTGTATTTTGATAAGCAAAACCCTAACGCTGCTCAGTTAACTAGAAAAAATCGCGCGCTTTAAAGGWTGTAAATTTGATGTAAATATGATGTAAGTGTCCAAAATGATGTAAATTTAGAGGAAATCATTTACATCAAATTTACAGAATTTTAGACACTTACATCATATTTACATCAAATTTCCAAATTTTAAGCAGCGGRTTTTTTCCRGTGGTTCTCAGCACCACAAGATCAGTAGATCTCTTATCGAGGCACTGATCCATATAGACTCGAGTGTTCCTGTGGGAAGACGCTCTTGAACATACAATGAAGCCTCTTAGTGATGGTGGCTGAGCACAAGTTGAAGGTCACCAATTGTAAACAGTATATGTGTGATTCATAAATTGTTCACATCTCCTTCATATATATCTTTCGCGATATCGCGAATATTCAATCTATAAAACGCGTATACAACAATAGCATATAATAACATAATACCCCAACATACGGAAAAGGTTCAAAAAATTATATGAATTAAACAAATTGTGAAAACGGCTTTTAGTTATATGTTCTCTTGACGTCATAAAATATTCAAACTCCATTTTATAGTTCAAAACTCCATCTTGAAAGGTACTATAGCTGAGTCTTTGCTTCAAACCGACAGAAGTTGAGCTTGTAATGATCAATAGTTGTTATGAACAAAAGGTATTCTATCACTGCAGGCTCAACTCCTTTCTCGCTTTGATGCAAAGCGACACAGAAATTGAGCTTTCAATGATAGATAACTGTGAATAAATGTTTTTAGGTGTGTACAAAAGGTAGTATCACTGCAGGTCAAACTGTCTTGCTTTGATGCAAAGGCCTAGTTACATTTCTAGATGGCGCTTGGAACTGTAAAATGGAGTRCGCAAATGAAGCGGTTTCATTACAAAGTCGAATCCACAGGAACTAAGATTGCCATGCATRGTTGCTAAAAGAACATTTTTTTAAGCAATGGGTGCTGCAATTCTGTAAGAAAAGAAATGTAATTTTCATGTCTAAATTTATGATAAAAACTAAAATTCAGTCAAAATATCAGTAAAAGCACTAAATATTTTATTCAAAAAGCATGAAGAAGATTTTGATTTACACCAAAGAAGACACCGTTGCTGGGTACGCGAGATCAAACCGGTCGGTGTATGGCTTCCTCTTCGTGGGATCGAAACACTGATAGCAGTTCCAGTTGWACTTTCCCCATCTCTCGATAGCCTTGCATCCAGGGGTATCCAAACAAAGCTTTTGACAATACTCCAGGTTTTTTCAGGTGGATAAGACTTCAGGAGCTTGCGATTGTTAATACCGCACCAGTGATTTTCGTATGTCTCCCATTTTGCTGGAATAAAACCAAAAATAAACAATGAACATTGAATTACAGGGTACGTGGGGAGGGGGTGAGAGCTGTAGGGGTTAGGGGTGTAAGAGGGTAAAGAATGTACGGATGTAAGGTTGAATTCGAGTGAGCTATGAGACGACAGGAGGTGGATATATGAGGGGAGGAGGGGGAGAGTGGGAGAATTGCAGATGTACAATGTACATGGGGGAGGGGGAGA